CCGAGGCACACTCCTTTACCTCGCTAAGCCATTAATAAAACTGGTAAAGAGGGAAGGTTGGGCATAAGACTAGCAACCCCATCCCATAAAAATAAACACCGCTACCACCGAAACCTCAGGTCTGTAGCTTGAAGCCCTATGCTCCACTCGGAACGTAAACGAATAAACAAATAATACAGAATGGCACGAAACCATGTTGCTACTAGTATTACATGTCAGGTTACAGTAATTGTAAGCTGTAAAATTATAGTTATCGGTCAAATACTTTAACTTGAAATCTACAACTAATCTATTTGATCAGTTCTCTGTTCCACTTGCTAGATGTTCGGAAGCTGCCAGTTTTCAAAGACTTAGCAGTCATTAAGATCAACAGTGGTAGCTGATATTAGTTTCTGACGCAATTAAAAATCATACTTATGGGATTAGATCAAAATTTAAAACTAAATACCGTGATACTGGTTATTTTCTAGTAATGTGTCAATGTATCTCTAAACAAGATTAGAGAAGTTTGTTGAGACTAGCGGACAACAGCCATCGTTAACTTCCACAGAACCTATACTGCTTAAGTAGTATTGTTTGTCTTGTCCTGAGTCGTATATGCAAATATTGTTACCCATCCATACAGCAGTGCCGAGTGAATGCGTGACGCATAAGTGGACGATGTTGTGATATCAGTGTTGAAAACGTAGTTACACTAACTAATTTTATCCAAAGACAAACGAAGTCTGATATTCATTAAAATCCTGAGAGTGAGTGTGACTCTTAAGTTAGTGTCATATTTATCATTTATCAGATATGCCCCTATCGTGAAAAGTATTGATTTATATTAAAATGAATCATTCTATTATAACTGCAATTATTCTGCATACAATAAACACCTTATCAGTGTTAAAAAAGGCAGAAAAATGTGTACTGTCTGTTCTTCTGACCTGTATTTCTTACAGAAATAACTGAAGAAGATCTAGCTAATAAATGCAACGTAAAATTTCAGACAAAATTACATTGATTTGCTTCAAATGTAAAGCTCAAACGAATGATGCGAAAAGTGGATGGGAAAGATACGAAGAGAATATCACAAAGATGTAAAATATTTATCTTTGAAGTTAATATTTACTACTGGAAATTATTTATTTCAATACATATTATCAAGTTAAAATTGCAGAGGAAGCATTAACTATATAGTAGTAATCTGTATGAGTATTTGTTAAACAGTTACTTTCTCACGTAACCTCAATTTCTCGGAAATGCAGATATACGGACGGATAAATATCATTTTGTCAAAGGAATAGCAATATTGCGTGTTTCTGTTAGCTTGCTTATCTCGTTTAATGGGTACCACTAGAAAGGAGGAAGTAGAAAGAAGACCTGAAAAGTCAAAATAACATAGTCTGAAGAGGTAGAACGAAGTGAAATAGGAGAATGATGGACTGCGTAAAGAAATATGGTATTATAACTATAAAATCTTTCTTATATCTACATTTATAAACTGAGGAGAAGTTGGAAGTATTTCTTAAGTAGTTCGAAAGACTTCATTTAGGCAACTTCCAAGTAATGTGCGATTTCTCAATAAGTTTGAATGGGAGATAAAAATTTTCGTAAGCACAAGCTAAATAAAGTTTGATTAGAATGAAAAACTGAATACCCTTAAGCGATACTCTTTGGTATATGTATTTCACACTACAGCTCACTGTTCAGTTAGCACATGCCAGCCTACATTTATCTGCCTCTTCTCTTTTCTTTGTCTAGGGATTGTAGAGACATGTTTTATTCGATTAGATGGTACTCACTAATCTACTGTTGCTCACTGGTCATTCTTTATAGACCAAATAGCCCTCTTTCGGGAGGCCGAATATGTCGAGGAAAAAAAGCTAGATTTAACTCAGAGACGTTTTTCGGTGGTATCATTTACTACAGATGCACAATTGCAATTATACACAATTTGTTAAGTGAATTTGTCCAATAGTTTTACGTTGAAGATACATGGTCAGTAGGGGAATAAATATAGTGTTAAGATTTATCAGTGTTAATCAAAGTATACCTGGTGTATACTGAAGCAGAACAATTGTAGATAAAGAGTTGCGTGACAAGACAAAATTTTTAGGAAATGAATTGTTATTAAGGTGAATACTGAAACATAAAAAATTTGATATTAAACGAGAAGTGGGTTTTCGAATTGTTTCACGATTTTCATTAATAAATTCACATAAACTGTCCAGATTGAAGATGATACTAGTTTTCTACAAAGTGAGGGTATTATCGTGTCCTGCCAATTTTCTTGACACCTATCTTAATATGTATTTAGCATCAGGTTAGGTTCGGGCAAAGTTTCTGAGCGAATAATTCTTTCTTCCATTTAGAGACAGTAATGTGAAGGTGTAGGTAAGCAAATGGTCACTATTGAACACATGCCTTAGAAATACCACTTGCTGTAGCAATGTACATGAGACGACTGTACAACTTAGAGAGACCCAAGTAGAGACAGTATGAGGTTCAAATTTCATTCTAATGCGAATCATTACTCTTTACATTTGCTAAAACTCTAACCGTAATGCTACAACATAGCCATTTAAAATGGACAATTTATTCTGTTATGCACTCGACTGGTGAGACAATTAAAGTAAATATAGGTTTGTAGCTCAGAATGAAGAAGAAGGTTGTTTGATGTTTACCGAAGCTCAAAGAACTTTACTAGAGAGTAACTAGCATCTAAACAGCCAATTAGCTACGTTCAGTGCATGCATTAATAGCACTGTATGACAATTATAATTCTCTAACAGGTATTCGCATACCTTTACACAAGTGAGTTAAATACAATTTCGGTGTACAAACATCAGTATTGTTAATAGGATTTCCAATTAATGAAATAAGAAATAAAAACGAAACACCTCATATTCTCTAATTAACTTGCAGCATTATCGCAACCAGCAATGTAGATTAAGATAGATTGCATGACAACTGAATCACTTACAGTAGATATGCCTTCTTATATTTGATACTGTGGTTTTGACGAGTTAGACAAAAGAAAAGCTTAGGTAATAGCTGAAGTCAGATTAAAAAACCATAAGGCATACTTCTGCGGTCTACAGAGTACGTAACCTTTTTATTTAAGTTTGATTCAAACACATCCCCCTAAATGCATAAAAAATATATACGATCCTCATCTTTCATCCAAGAAATGCTGGAAGATTTTCAGGAGAAATAAATTCGTTTTGGTTAGGAATTTGGGGGCATTATCACAGAATCATCCACCTCTAAGTTAAGAAATCTTAAGTGTGCCTAATGGAACTATCAGAGCAGCATTAACAAAATTACTTTACGCTAACAGCTTTCGGCGTGAGAATTTCAAAGTTGTTAAAAAGCGGGTTTTAATTGTTCAGGGGTCAGTTAATACGGACTCATTCATTGACTACGAATGGTCTAAATTCGAGGATACACTTGAATTGGTTACGTCTGAATTCACTCATTGGAGGATTCCTAGCAAGTCACCAAGTCGTTTCCCGTAAGAAAATAGACGGTTTATAAAACATCTTTTCCACTAAGTCTGAAAATTTCGGATTGAAATACCGAAAAATCGGAAATCCATGTAGGAACTTGACTTGGAGATCTAAGAAAAACCTGACTCAAAGCTAGTAAGAAATTCACAGGCCTTCCAAAATGACGTTATTCATGCATTAGAGGAAGAAACAGAGAAATTGCCATCATGCTTACTCGATAATTACAGTTGAAAATCTCCAGACCAAGACTGAGACCTCGTCACTAACTCCGTCACGTAACGATAGCGTAGATTTAGAAAGCACTCTGATAGGCGACCCAGGCACCAAAAATTTGCCAGACAGAGAAGAAATTCATCCAAAAAGTGCGTTTAAATCACAATTCCATTCTAGTGACCCCAAAAATCTAACCCACATATGTTACTGGAACTCGCTGACCTCACAGCCGAGTAGGTAATATTCAGTGTCACTGGAACAGTCTAAGTGAACTGCAGACCAGACGTTCAAATCCATCAACCAAAGTATGGATGTTGGAAACTATTAAGGAAAGTCATCTGTAATACTGTTATTAAACATATTGAATGAAACAAACAGGAGAAATTATTGCTTAATAAACTCTATATTTGGTGGGAAATTCCAGATATCCCGCCAAATGCCATACTAACTGACTTTGCAAAGCATTTGATGAAGTTTATCTTTGAGATCTTTCAGTAAAGTCAGTGGTTTTGAGGATTTGTGTCCAAGTTAATAGGTTCCGGAGGGCTTTAAACTATAGTAATGATGAAAGCGCCTCACTAGGAGATCTACACTTGACTGCCGATTGGCGTGAGTAATGGTCCCAGTAAATAAATACAATTAAGAACGTAGTTATGCATGTTATTCATTACAGTATGCGCAGTTAATTAATAAACAGAATTACTTTCCCAACGGATACTGAGTATAAGGAATTGGAATAAGTTTAAGGCCATAATGTGTAAACTGGAGCACCCTGGAGAAAAGGGCTCTCACGGATTCTAGAAAATTATGATCACCCTCAAGGCTTATAAAGGTTTGATGACGATATATTTCGTATAACATTCAATATATGCCTAAACTTAATCGAAAATTATGATAGGATGCAAAATCCTCTTGGTAAAATCTTGGAATGAAATTCGAATAAGAAGACGAAATCGCCGTTAGTAGAAATATGGCTTTTAATTGAGAATAGAAGTTATACATATGCCAATCAACAAGCTTCATCGCCTATGGTGAGTGAAATAAGCACCTTCAAAGTCCATCTGTGAGAAACACGAAACACTGTAATCTACGAATTTTAAACAACCTGCGGAGCAGACAAACTGTTGCCTGCAAGGATGACACCAGGAAAACAAACCTGATGTCTGGACGCATCTCTTAACATCTAGGTTTAGTCAGACAATAATAAACAAGTTCGCCTACCTAAACCCGTTTATTTAAGACGGGCGAGCTTTAAAATTCGTTAAGATTGGGTGACTGTAGCAAACAACTTACTTTTAGTTTATAAACCGTCCCACTGTAGACAACGACACGTGTGTTATTGTGCATAATCCGCTCAGGATAGCCCTGTTATAGTCCACATTATTGATGTATCATGCTTAAGCATATTATTCCTCTATTCAGTAAATAAAATGTCCATCATATGAGATTTAGAGATTGCATGTGCTCAGATATCGAAAACATGATACATAATTTGAATACACACACTTTTTGTGAGTGAAGTTTAGTAAGAAAAAACACAGGAGTACAAAGTGTAAGTTGAATGTTCAATTTCCAACGTCACTACTGTAAAACTGTGTCACTTGACTTAAATACTGTCAATTTGTCCCTAATCTAAAAGAATAGGTTCTCAATTATTTTCACTAATAATAATATTCCCGTTAGAAGATGGTGCAAGTGATCCGATTAATTTTCAGTCACTTTTCTGCAACTGGTTGGCATTATCCTAACAGTTTTCTCTTCAGCTGCAAAGAAACGGCTCATAAGCCTCACTTAACTCCTGTAGATTACACCCTTACTGTTAAGGAACTACTTTGTAATTACCCGGTTTATCTGGAGTATCTTGACAGGTCTCCTATGAAAAGACCTCTCATCTCTCTTGAATTTTTTGTGCACTTTTATGGATGAGATTCCTCGGAAGTTCAAATTACATCACACTTTCCGATTCGTACATTCCATAGCCTGAGTATCCTCGTTTAACCAGGAAGATTTTGTCACAAGTGCGCGTCATTACTAGATGAAGATTGTCTGAAATTCCTATGAGAATCGTTCTCTTCAATGGTCCCTAGTGTTCATTAATTGTCAGAAAAGCCTCACCTTAATGGACAGGCAAACTATTTCATCATAGTTCAGGGCAGTTGCTGATGCTGTTCTGTCAGCGCGATTGCGACGGTTAGGTACTGACTAGTAGCTACCTGTTGCGAAATGCGCGGAGTGTTACTGGACTGGGTAAGGAGCGAATCTGTATCTCATGTGTTTCAATGCTGCTCATAAACTGATATGGCAATTCCATTGCCTAATTCATGATTCCTATTTGGCAAGAATGGGTACATGCTAATTTCATCAACTTCGTCGCTGGAATTAAGACAGTCACTTGCGTTATTGTCAGAATAATCACCTTTAAGCAAACAAAAAGATTGGTGGACCTAGGTTCTGACAGCTTTCTTCTCATCCTACTTACGTGCTGTGTATGTAATTGAGTCGTAAATCACACTTACTCCCTTGCCATATGGTGATTAAGATTGTGAGCCTGCAAAGTAATGAACTGACATGGGATGGCGTTTGCAGGTTTCAGTTGAACCAACCTGTTTCATTTTCTTCATCAATCATAGCTGGTATGTTTGCATTGCCTTTTGAATCATTCTTAGAAATTCCTCCGCCTTAACTCATGAAGTCTTTCTCCTCACCATCTAAAATGTGTCCGTGTTCAGTGGCGCTAACAATTTCCCTTAGAGAATGAATGCAAAAATCCCAAGCTTCGTGAAGGAGCAACTTTAGTATGCATATGAATAGGTGAGTTTAGGAGAGTAGGTGGTCATCAGAGTGAGCTCACGGTTTTTAGGACAGTATAAAAATGAAGGTGATAGATTATCTATTCAATCATGATCTCCCCGATTTTTCCACCTTTCAGAATTCGTTTAACCAATGCAAAAATCGTACCTGTTGGATAAGCTGAGGAAGACAGGGCTGAATATTTAACCCTGTGGTTATTGCAGTGGTTACAGAGGGTTGAGGTTACTACGCAGAAGTCTTTCTGAAAGTCTGCAGGTGGTGGCAAAAAGTGAGTAGTTTTTTACTCCAGGTGAAGAGACACCATGTCACTACCTTCATTACACATGTGTAGGCGATGTTTCTCCATATGTAGTAGGTGATCCATCCACTCAAGTGCCACACTTTAAGTAAGCGGTAGGCTATAAAGAGATGTGCTGAGTTTTAAGGGACAGGTTTCGTTCACTCTAGGACCTTAATGCTTCTCTGATTATTGCTAGTCCTTTCATCACAGAGTAATTCCTCTAAGTCAGAGTATTAACTCAGTTAGTTGCATTACAAGTGATTAGGATGATAGCACGAATGGGTGATCAATAACTGGTAAACACATATAAGGAGGGTAGATAAGCGAGGTTTGCAGTAAAGAGACATATGAGAAAAGTGAAAGTTGTGGGCGTCAAAATAGTAATGACAGGAAAGGTAATAGTTCATGGAGAGGACTAATTAATTTTATTTTTGGACATTCGGCAAACTATGGATAAATCCTAATATGGTCAAGCTCCCAAATAGTTAAAAACATTTTGTATGGTGACATGTAGCCTCTTTGCTTTCTTTTAATCTGGTGTCGTAGTCACCGCTATGGGTATTTATTTTCGGGGCCACTAACTAGGTACTGAAAGGGTTAAGAGTGTACTCAGGTTATACTTTCATGCTCTGCAACCAAATATCTCAACGCGATATGCAGTTAAAGCCCCTAAGGTAGATGGTGGTTTTACAGGAGATGGCTTTTCACACGTTACAGGACTCACGAATCGTGTGATTTATCTTGTGATGGAGTCAATATGCGGATCTATAATTTCTCACACATATTGTGTTTTAGTGTGCGACCAATTCATCTTTTTTTGTCTCAACTTGATCTCTGCCAGATCGCCAACCAACGAAAATAGCAACCGCCAGCCAATAAAAACAATCCATTACTACGGCTGTGGGCTAATTTTCCAGTGGTAAACAAATGTTTAAATAAGATGTTTTGTTTCTAATAAATCTACAGCACAATATTTTACAGTCACAGGCCAGTCTTTGTTCAATGATATTTGCGTGGCTCAGTGAGTCGGAAGGTACAGCGAACAAAAAGACATTTAGAGGCTAGGGGCGTTGACGTTAGCGGATATTATGAAGTATACTAACTCAAGATCTTATACCCATAACTTCTATGGTATTCGTTCCGCATAGACCAAAGGCAAAGCAAGACACCAGGACTGATCGTTCTAAAAAGCATACAACCCATGATTTTAGTCGAGGCAAAGAATAATCCGCTTTCGAATTGCCGCTCGCAATCAGCTGTTATGAAGGATGGGCATCCAAAACTTGCGATCCAACGTTCGACAAAGACAAGTGCGACTGTTTCGGCAGATACATCCCTGAGGGGTGCTGCTTTAGGCCAACGTGTAAAACGGTCGATGGGGGTCAGGATATAAGCATATGCACGATATTCTGGGAGGGGTTCAACCAGATCTTTATGGACGTGTTCAAAATGGGAGTCAGAGATAAGCTTGACGGTAGTTCGAATACCTGGGTGGGATAAGCTATACAACGTATTGAAGACGATACAGCGATAACTTTTAGGCACGACGGGACGGAGTACTCGTGGAAATGTCACATAGAATAGTGTCTTTTCCTATGCTTGAGGGTTTCTCGGCTAATTGCAGAGTTGTTTCCGACAACTCATGTTCAAGCTCGGTATCATCTTTTTTAGAAGACGAGACAGTTTTACAAGGTCTATGCCATCTAGTTGAACAAGGGAACAAATGAGCGACAAGGCACCTGCCACAGTGTTCTTAAATCCGGATACACGGCGAATATCCGATGTACACTGTGAAGTGTAGTCCGGTTGATGTGATTCTCTAGATGAATTCTAATCTGAAGTTCAGTTCAGAGGGTACGTCGGAGGTTTGTGGTCCGTGAAATTTATTAATCCACGACCCTCCACTGAATGTCGGGAATGACGTATAGCACAGTACATAGCCAGAAGTTCTCTGCCGTATGTCCTGCATTTTTGTTCTGCTAATTTTAGACGCCTTGAGAAAAAAACGAGTGGTTGTCACTCTCTGTTAACTATTTGTTGCAGAACTGCGCCAATTGCAATATCTGATGCATCAACTGAGATACTTAACGGTGCCGTTGGATCCTGATACATAGGAAGAGTGCCATCCGTGATAGCTTTTTTAACCTGAGTAAAAGTATTTCGAGCAGACGCGTCAAGTTCTATGGGCTTGTTATTCCCTCGAAGAAGGTCTGTCAATGGCTGAATCATAGAGGAACAGTTGGGGATAAACTGTTGGTAATAACTTACCAAGACGTTAAAAGTGCGAAGACTTTTCACTGTCTGTGGCTCTGGAAAGTTCAGTATCGCCTCAAATTTACTAGCCAGTGGGCGAATACCCTCACAGTCAATGGTGTGGCCCAGAAAGTTGAGTGAGTCAATGCCTATCTGACACTTTTGAATATTAATGGTAACACCATGTAGGCGTAGCCTTTCGAATGCCAAGTCCAAGTGTCTAAGGTAAGCTTCCTTGTCTGGACTGGCAATGAGGCAGTCGTCTCAGTATGCGTATACAAATTCGAGACCCCGAAATACTCTCTCATTGAAGCGTTCCGGAGGCCGAATGGCACACGTAGAAATTCAAAAAGTCCAAAAGGAGTGATGATAGCCATTTTCGGAATATCTTCTGATGCCATCGAGATTTGGTAAAACGCTTTAACCAAGTCGTGTATGTGAGGTAATGAGTAGCAATCAGGGGTTGTTTTGGCGTTCACTCGCCGGTAATCACTAGTGGGTCACCAGTCGTCTATATCTTTTTTCTGTACCATTTGCAGTGGGGATGCCCATGGGCTATTCGATGGCCAAATGATGCCAAGGGTGAGCATACGGTCGGATTCATTTCTCGTCAGCTGTAGCTTATCAGGAGCAAGTTGTTGTGCTTTGGATGTCACGGGTTGTCCTGAGGTGATGATGTGATGCATAAGATTGCTGGTGTAGATCGTTTGATGGGCAATAAAGTTTCGGGTACTTATTAAAAATCGGCCGGAAAGTTGGAACAAAGATTGCCTCCTTCTTAGCTAGTGACAAGCTATTGCCTACGTAGGTGATGCCTTTAATAGACAGTCTAAGGGAACCGTCTATCAGTTGTTTTCGGCGGACATCTACGAGTAGATCATGATGGTTAAGTAGGTCCGTGCCAATGATAGGCATTGTGACGTCGGCGAGAAGGAAAATCCATTCAATCGGTTTGCGTAAACCTACGTTCAGGTAGACGTGTTTCCTACCAAAAGTTGCAATCGGTTCTCCATTTGCAGCCTGTAAGTTGAAGGTAGGTTCCTTCTGTCGATCTGCTTCTGTAGCAGGAAGGACGCTGACTTCGGCGTCTGCGTCGACTAAGTACCGAGTCTGACTGACTATATCACGGATGTATAGTAGGTGACTATTGCCAGCGGCGACGGATGCCGCTAACGCGTGCCGGCGGGATA